CCCTGCTCTTCTGCCCTTTGACTTAAAGCTTATCCCAAGTCAAACTCCTGTTTCCCGGCCTAGGGGATTGACTCCCTAGGTCGGCTGTCCTCTGATCCTCTGCTTCCCCACTTCCCCGTTCCTCCGTCCCGCTGGTTCCACTGTTCCGTTGTTCCTCCGTTCCGTGTTCCTCCGTTCCGTTGTTCCTCCGTTCCGTTGTTCCTCCGTTCCGTTGTTCCTCCGTTCCGTTGTTCCTCCATTCCGTTGTTCCCCCATTCCTACATTCCTCCGATCCTCTGTTCCCCCGTTCCTCCATTTGTCTGACTTCCTGTGCGTCGGAACTAAACCCCACACTCTTGCATCCGTCCCTCCATTCCGCTCTGCTTCGGACTTTGTCCAAGCAAGTTCCTTCCGCTCCGCTTCTACTGCTGGTTCCGACCACAGTGGTCTCCCACTTCCCTCCTGTCAGGCAGAACAACCCCCACCCAACTTTCCCGCACTCACCTAGTAGTCCGTCGGTCCTCCTTCAGAGGACCCCCGTTCCGACATCCTGTCAGAACTCCTAGAACTCATGTCGGACTACACCCTGAAATTAGGGGCACGTACTCGGGTAAGGGGCGCAGCGTACGAGCTGAAGCCAAGCCCCTCAGACTCTGCTTTACCCCGAGCACAGTCTTAACAGAACTGCTAACTATGGTATTACCCTAGGCGGCTCAGATGCTGGGCTAGAAGCCTATGTAGACGCAGACTGGACCTCGCAGGCTCATCGCCACTCCATGTCTGGCTATATTGTCTTACTCAACGGAGGTCCCATCGCCTGGAGCACACAGAAACAACCCATAATCGCGTTGTTGATGGCTGAAGCAGAATACATCGCTCTGACAACTGTCGGACACGAGATCCTATACCTACAACTACTCATTGAAGAGTTGTATGAGTCCCCAAGCCTCACCACACCAATCTCCTGCGATAACCAGGCAGCCATAGCCCTAGCATCAAACAACAAATTCCACTCACCTACGAAGCACATCAACCTTTGATATCACTTCATCAGATCCCATGTTAAGAACAGAACATTCAGCCTCACTTATTGTCCAACCGAGGACAACATCACTGATGCCTTCACGAAAGCCCTTCCACGCCCACACCTTCAAAGACTGCGGAGTTTGATGAGCCTGGATTGCGCTCGAGGGGGAGTGTTGAGCTCTGACGTATCGGGAGGATCGGAAGACGAAATGAAGGGAACGCTAGCGATGTCAGAGTGAGACATGACGAGCGCAACCATGCTAGGAGATGAGGCGATGTATTAATGTTGGCCGAGGTTAGTTGATAATTGGACTTGATCCCTATGCCATCCTATATGCATCTTATATTTCGCGTTGTTATACTGACTACGTATAAAGCTATGAGTATCCCATTCGAACATCTCAGTTTCTATCAGATACTGAGATGTAAGCTGTCATTATTTCTATACTATACAGAGCGCTAACTAGACATAGAATACATTCTCTTGTCAGGTACTATACTTGTGCTACAGAGTTTCTATCAGATACTGAGATAATACATTCTCTTGTCAGCTCACTCTCCGTGTCTGGTCGCTATCATAACTACAGTTGACACATTGAGTAATGCAGTGTGGAGCTGTGAGGTAATCTTTGTGTAAATCTAATTTTCTTTCTTTCTTTTCCAGCCTATTGAGAGTGAGAAGTAGGGCTCAAGATGGATATGAAAGAGCTTACTTTTGTTTATCATCATTGGACTTTGATGAATGTTTCTTCTGCTTAGAAGAACATTTGTGAGCAGGTTGACAGTCTTCTGAGTCACTCGAGGAGATGTTTGATGATCCTGATGGACTTGGAGAACATTTCCAATATGCCATAGTGATTGAAGGTTAAGGAGAATACAGGGTTAAGGGGAAGATTGGGCAACATCATTTGGGGTAAGACACATGATTAAGAACTTAATATACTGTGACAACAGTGACTATATGCGCAACAAGAAATACAAACTTAATTCTACATTTACAATTTCAGTGAGTGCAAGTGCATGTCAACAAAAACAGTATGACTGCACATAGAGACAATGTCCATGGGAAGTGATATAACAACAATGCACGAAGCAATAACAATAGGATGTGCGAAATGAAGCTTGAAGGTGAGATTCATTCTAACTTTAATGCTTCTACAGCAGCAGGTAGTGTCATGAATGTGTCAACATGTTTGAGTGGTACTTTGGTTGTCATATTCCTGAAGCCATGATGAGCATCAGGAAAACTGGTTCTTGCACTTTTTGGATCTGAATGGCTCTAAGTGCATATAGTGCCACTATATGCTTATAGATACATATATTGCAGCATAGAGAAAAATTAACTCCAAATCCTGATCCTATCACAATGCTAATCCAACCCTAACCCCAATCCTAATTTTAATCCTATGGGAGGCTGACTAATTCTAACTTGATCAGGAAATTGGTTTCTGCCATTTTTGCACTTTTTGGTTTTAGATGTACATTGTGCCACTATATGATGATGGTAGACCATGGGAATTGTTTTCGAAAAAAAATCAAAGTTATATGACGGAAATTTCCCACCTTCATTGCAATGACCGGCGGTTGAGATAAGGGTTACATTAAAATTACAATAGTATTTCAATGCACATGATCGTATTACATCATCTTGGAAACACCGATTATCAACACAAGTCTATTATAATCACATACATGTCGTCTGTATTATTTTAAAGTCCAAGTGGACTTGATTATCTGATTATCTTTCTGTCCCACTGTCATTGATGCGATTCAGATGTCCTACCTGGCATCGCTACCAGAAACATGGAAGATGATTCAGAGAAAGCTTTAATACATAATGCCCTGACTGATCTGCGCTCAAGTTAGTATCAGTATGTAATTATTAGGTTGATTCAGACGTTTGAATCTGTTTAACACATTAGTCATTGTTCATTCATTATCCAGTTGACAGCCCTTTCTATCATTAACTGCCGTGCTCGGTAGTTTCATCCAACAACATGCCAGATTCATCCACAGAACTAACTTGCAACCACTGCGGTAGAACATTCAAACTGCATGGTTTCAAGACACACCGCACCGCCTGCGTGAAAAATGCGAGGCACTTGCAGGAGGATCTGCTTCATGTTGCGAACACTCATAACAGTTCAGGTATGTTTCTTGTCTGTTTTGAAGCATCTGAATTGGTCACTGAATTTCCACTTAGCTACGATGTTGGTCGACATCTGTCATATACCTGATCCAACCGCTCCGATATCAATATCCGCCCCACTTTCCGACAACCTCCGCTCCATCTATTCCTCTGCTCCGTCCAATCATCGACCACATCTGCTCCAACACTTCCGCTCAACCGCTCAACCGGTCCCCTTCCATAATGTCTCCATTCAACTGGAATCCCTTTCCCCTTTTAGATATATACTTCCCCCTTCGGTACATAGACCCTTACTCCCGGATCACTGGTAATTCCTCTTACCACTCAATCACTGATCCGACGTGTACATATTGATATCCACTCCAACTTATGTCTTCACCTGTGTAAGTACTTACAAATTATATCCTTGGTACATAGCTTTACAACATAGTTATCCTGATCACTGCCTCCTACTTAGAAGTATATAACATATCCTGTACTTAGATATTTTCCCCAGTCTTAATATTACTTGTCTTCTCGCAGTCACTACTTGTGAGAACTCTCAGTAGGACCTTGCCTCCTCTGGACACAAGTTTCACCTTGTTGTCACCTCCGACCCTCCGCTCCGACTTAGAGCCATGCTCTAAGTCTTCTCTTTACTTCTCCACCCCTATCAAGTATTCCCCCTGTTCCTTTCCGCACTCTGCATTATCCTCCACCTCCTCCACTCCTATCAAGCATTCCCCCAGCCCCTTTCCACCCTCCCAATTATCCTCCACCTTCTCCGCCCCACTCCTAGTCAGGTCCGCCGCTAGTAGCTCTTACCACCCGACCCTCAAAGCAAACCTAAGCGGTCCACTCGTCCTATCGTCGGACAACGTCGGACCTGCTCCAAATTCAGGGGTACGTACTCAGCTAAGGGCGCAGTGCAAGAGCTGAAGCCAAGCCCCAACCCCTCTGCCTCTTGAGCCAGCACAGTACCTAACAATGTCCAAGTCAATACATATTGCACCGATCAAGTTAATGATCAACTGTGAGGTACATGATGCTCAGATTTTCAACTGAGCCGAACTTCATAGACATTGACAAGTGGATGGATATCAATGATTTGGATGGTGTGTAAGTCATCTCTACCTTTGACACTACAACTTACAGCATGATATTAGGCATTCATGGAGTGATTCCACCACATGAATTGTCTGCAGATGAATCCGATCAACACGAAATCGCATTTAACATCGACTGATGTCCAGACGGAATTTCACCCTCACTCTGAAATCCCAATGCAGACATGAACATTCTCGACTTTTCAACACAACATTTCACACGACCCACCAACTCCCAACAAACAACCCTGGGAGCCATTTCAAAGCCGCCTGGACTTTGAGGTAGCTGAGCTCGCTCATGAAACTACCCTCAGCAAACATCAAATTGAACGACTGATCAACCTCCTGCATCACTCAAAGCAGGAGTCCTTCACACTGCGCAACCACAATGTTATTCGTAAGACATGGAATGCTATGTCTCATCGTCTAACACCAGTGAGTATCTTGTTGATTCAGTTTCATTGTTCTAATGTATGGATCTTAGTTTCAAAACAAACCATCAGAGTGCCATATAATGGCGTTGATCAAGAATTCATGCTTCACTACTGGGACTTGTGGGACTGGGCATGTGACCTTCTTCAAGATCCTTACATCAGCCCACAGTTTACTTTCAACGCTCAACACCTGTCGAAATTTGATGGGCAGAAGTTTGTGTGATTTATCGATGAGCCCTGGACTGCAGATGCTTTTTGGGATGCTCAGGTAAGTATCAATTTGATAAGTTGGAGCAATGCACTGAAATGTAATGCATCTAGTCAGCCATGCCTGCAGATGGGAAGCCTCTTGGATTCATACTATATGCAGACAAAGCAAAGTTGTCGTCCTTTGGCCGTGCCAAAGGTTACCCTGTTATTGCTCAGATCGCGAACCTCCCAGCTTCAGTCCGGAATGGCGAAGGAGTTGGTGGTGGTCAAGTTGTGGGATGGCTCCCAATTGTACTATTTTAATTATATATGATGCAACTAACATTGAACTAACCCTGATTTTTCTAGGTCAAAGATGATCCTGCAAAGTCGGGAAAACAGAAGTTCGCAGATTTCAAGGCAGCCATTTGGCACAAATCCTTCAAGACAATACTGAAATGTCTTAGATCGAAAAGGAAGCATGGTGGATGGATTGAATGTTGGGACAAACTTCAACACCATTTGTTTCCCATTGTGCCAATCTTGTCTGCAGATTACGAGGAGCATGGTGTTCAACAATGTATTCTTACTGATACTCCACATGACCTTTCAACATTCCCAGATGTGTTATGTCGCTCATCCGTGGAGTTATGGGCAAATTTCCATGCCCCATTTGTTTGGTCCCTTGGGATGACTTGTTTGACTTGTTGAAGATTTGGCCACTTCTTACACATCACGGTGCAGTTCACCTACTTAGGAAGGCAAGAAAGAAGCCTACAAAGGCAAAATGAGAACAGAAGTTGAAGTCTCAGTCTTTGTGAGATGTCAATGTAAGTGACTTGCTGATTCTGAATCACGTTCAAAATATATTGACCTCAACAGAATGCTCTCCTCAAGTCAAAACTTGTGGATGTCTTTCGTGCCCTTTTGTTTGACCATCTGCATACTAACCACGAAGGAAGGGGAGGAAAGCATCTGTGGAGTAAGCTACAAAGAATGATCAATGACATTGGTCGAGATGCTGCAAGCAAGATAAATCAAGGGTTTGTTAATTTTTTTTTCACTTCGTTACTTAATACCTCGGACATTCATTATGAGTTTCTTAGGTTCGCAGACGCACCAAGATGGCAAAACCTCAATCACTTCAAAGAAGTCATGGGAATCAGCTTTTCCGATGAAACAAAGTACAAAGATATATTAAAGGCGAGAGGCTCTTGAGATGCCAATTAGAATGATGTCCACCCTTTGCTTGTTCTACAGTTGATCATTTTCATCGCTCACGAAGTGCTCGATCACAAATCACGCAAGCTTGGATATCTTCTACTACAATGTATTTGGGCATACTTGAATGTTGATATGTTTGCAGCTCTTGAGGTGCATACTGCAGAGACTCTTGCTGCTGGCTGAGCAGCTCTAGATGAATTTTCACAGGTCATGAAGGCAAGTTTACATTGTACTTCACACTCTTAGTGCTGACGAGTGCTGATGTTGTACTGTAGACATATATTTCGAAGTCCAAATCCAAACTGAAGAATTGGAATTTCCTGAAGATTCACCTGGCTACTCACCTTTTCAATGACATCAGGCGCAAAGGTGTTACCCAAAATTTCAATACGAAGCCAAATGAGAAAGCACATTGACCACTGAAGAAATCCTATGAACTTCAGACAAATTTCAAGGATGTCGCAAAACAGGTTGGGTCTGCTATCGTCTCTGAATCAAGTTTAGTATGTTGATTGTTGGGAGCCATATTAGATCTTACGTGCAGACCATTGGAGCCTGGTATCCACCTGGGTTCGTTATCGACTAAATGACCTTGATGATTACAATGTGAGAAACAAAGAAGTCGGTGTGCTACTAGATGAATCGGACTGGGGTAGTGTCGGAGGAGTGGAACGGGGTCGGGTGGAGGTAGCAGGGCTAATCCTGCTGAGATGCACTTCATGCATTGTCAGGGAAGGAGGAATGAAGCGGACAGGGAAACAGGGGGTTGGGCCAGCAGTGGGGATGCTCATAGGAGGTACTGGGGGTACTCGGATCCAGTATATGACAGTAGCATAGCATAAGCAGAAGGCTATGTGCTGAGTGTACAGAATTACTAAAGAGATGACTGAGACATATGAGAAAGAGGCTTGGAGAATAGTATGTACATGACGGATTAATAATCACTCTGGTTGTCATATACCTGATCCGACCGCTCCAATATTAATATCCACTCCGCTTTCTGACCACCTCCACTCCATCCATCCTCCGCTCCGTCCAATCATCGTCCGCATCTGCCCCTATGCTTCTGCTCAACCGCCCAACCAGTCCCCTTCCATAATGTCTCCATTCAACTGGAACCTCTTTCCCCTTTTAGATATATACTTTCCCTTTCAGTGCATAGACCCTTACTCCTGGATCACCGGTAATTCCTCTTACTGCTCAATTACTGATCCGACGCGTACATATTGATATCCACTCCAACTTATGTCTTCACCTGTGTAAGTACTTACAAATTATATCCTTGGTACATAGCTTTACAACATAGTTATCCTGGTCACTGCCTCATACTTAGAAGTATATAACATATCCTGTACTTGGATATTTTTCCTTAGTCTTAATATTACTTGTCTTCTTGCAGTTTCTACTTGTGAGGATTCTCAGTAGGACCTTGCCTCCTCTGGACACAAGTTTCACCTTGTTGTCGCCTCCGACCCTCCACTCCGACTTAGAGCCACACTCTAAGTCTTCTCCTTATTTCTCCGCCCCTATCAAGTATTCCCCCTGCTCCTTTCCCCCTTCTGCATTATCCTCCGCCTTCTCTGCCCCGCTCCTAGTTGGCCCGCCACTAGTAGCACTTACCTCCCGACCCTCAAAGTGGACCTAAACGGACCACTCATCCTATCGTCAGACAACATTGGACCCGCTCCAAATTCAGGGCATGCACTCAGCTAAGGGCGCAGCGCAAGTGCTGAAGTCGGCACGGTACCTAACACTGGTATAGGAATGACCGGTGATCCGAAAGGAGGAACTATGATACCACAAGGGGGTAGGACCAGTTGAGTGGTTCCTAGTCTAGAAGTGGACTGGTGAGGCGGTTGGGCGGACTGATAGTCGGGTGGAGTGACATGAGAGAAATTGAAGGAACCAAGTGGGTCGGAAAAGCGGAGATGGTAGAGGGAGTAGGAGTAGGATTGGGTGGACCAATAGGGCGGAGGAGCAGAGCTTCAGATAGGGTCGGATGGTAGGGATATAGTGTCAGAGGAAATAGGGGTAGTGTCGGAGGAGTGGAGTGGAGTCGGGCAGAGGTGGCAGGGCTAGTCCTCGTTAAGACCGTGCTCAGGGGTAAAGCGGAGTCTGAGGGGCTTGGCTTCAGCTCGTACGCTGCGCCACTTACCTGAGTACATGCCCCTAATTTCGGAATGTAGTCTGACACGAGTTCTATGAGTTCCGACAGGACGTCGGAATGGGGGTCCTCTGAAGGAGGACCGACAGACTACTAGGTGAGTATGGGAAAGTCGGGCGGGGGTTGTTCTGCCCGACAGGAGGGAGGCGGGAGACTACTGCAGTCAGAACCAACAGTAGAAGCGGAGCAGAAGGGACTGCTTGGACGAAGTCCGAAGCAGAGCGGAACGGAGGGGATGGATGCAAGAGTGTGGGGTTTAGTTCCAATGCACGGGAAGTCGGACAAGCGGAGGAACGGGGGAATGGGGGAACAGGGAAACAGGGGAACGGAGGATCAGAGGGTGGCTGGCCTAGGGAGTCAATCCCCTAGGCCAGCTAACAGGAGTTGACTAGGATCAGGCCCAAGTCAAAGAACAGAAGAGCAGGGCTTAGAAAAGGTAGTATTCAGACTGGGTATCTACAGACAAATGTACATATGTTTATATACTCTAAGTGATGAGCATAGCATAGCAGAAGGCTATATGCTGAGTGTACAGGAATACAATAGGATGACTGAGACATACGAGAATAAGGCTTGGGGAACAGTATGTACGCGACGGATCAGAATTGCTAGGGTATAGGGATTACCAGTGATCCAAAAAGCGGAACTATGATACTAAACGGTGTGGGTACAACAAGTGCAGCAGAGTGAAATCAATCTACTACACAGTTGGGTCTTTGCTGCCTGCTGCCTCGCTTGGGAACAAATGCATTTGACCCTTAAGGGGATTGCTACTGGGGAATACTAGTCTCTGTCTAAAGCGACCCTATAGGATGAAAGATCCACAAAAGCGGATGAAACGGATAGGATGCGAAACGTACAGATTTGTCAGATGGAGCGGATGGCACTTGTGGATCGGACAGGATGTGAATCAAAGTCAAAGGAAGTTCATTAAAGGTTAGATGGATAGTGGGTATAAGTCAAAGCGACCTTCTGGTAAGGTGCAGGAAAAGTGGGAGGAAGTTACATGAAGTAAGTATTTTTCGAAAACCTCCATGCTTATAGGGTACAGTATTTTCAAGGAACATAGAGATATAGGTAGTGAGTCTAGACCGTGCCATAAGCTATCTGAAAAATACTGGAGTGTGAGAGGATATGTCTGTGTTCAGTCAGTAACAAGAAAATGCATGTGAGTACGTACCAATGAGGTAGAATGGACGTGGACAGGACGGATGCGGCGGATGTGCGAGCTATAGGAGGAGATCCAAAGGTATCCGCATGTCGTCCGAAAAGCAGATGGGTATTGGATGAAATGGATAGGTGTCGGATGGACGTCGGATGGATGCCTGATGCATTGGAAAAGTGGTGGATACGAGCCTAGCATAGGGATACTCCCTACAACAGGGATAGGACCAGTTGAGTGGTTCCTAGTCTAGGAGTGGACCAGTGAGGCAGTCAGACGGACTAATAGTTGGGTGGGACAAGACGAGTGGAACTGGGCGGGTCAGAAAAGCGGAGGGAGTAGGAGTAGGATTGGGCGGACCAATAGGGCAGAGGAGCGGAACCCCAGATAGGGTTGGATGGAAGGGGTATAATGTCAGAGGACATAGGGGTAGTGTCGGAAGAGTGGAATAGGGTCGGGCGGAGGTAGCAGGGCTAATCCTGCTGAGATGCACTTCGTGCATTGTCGGAGAAGGAGGAATGGAGCGGATGGGGAAACAGGGGGTCGGACCAGCAGTAGGGATGCTTATAGGTGGTACTGGGGGTACTCGGATCCGGTATGTGACAGTCCTGCTGAGATGCACTTTGTGCATTGTTGGAGAAGGAGGGATGGAGCAGACGTGGAAACAGGGGGTTGGACCAGCAGTAGGGATGTTCACAGGTGGTATTGGAGGTGTTTGGATCTGGTATATGACACCAACACCTATTTCAACAATGCCATCCTCAGATTAGTGAGACATACCAGAAGTCACAAAATGACCCACTGGAGAAATTCACAGAGAGTGTGGCGGCTCACAGATACCTTTATGCTCCTATCTACACTGAGGGTCATTACATTGTGCTAGAAATTGACTTTGAAACTGTTAAGACTGATTGTAGTCCAACATGATGCCAACCCTCCTGCTGAGCATGCCAGGTGATTTTATTTGATCTTGCACAATCAGATGGACCATCAAGGCACCCTATTTGCCTTGGATGGATCTAATAATGATGTGGGGCCATCATCTCATCCTGGGTTGCTGGTGGGCCTTCACCTCTCTGTGCAGAAACATTTATATCTTGGGAAACAACACATCCAACAGGTTCAGGCACAGCAGCAGGAGCAGTGTGAAATGGTTGAGAAGGCAGAATGCAAGAAGGCAGAATGGCTCAAATATGAGAAGGCAGAAGCAGAACAGCTTGAACAGGAAATGGTTGAGAAGGCAAAGGTAAATATGGACAATATTGATATAAACAACAACAGCATGGATACTGACATGCACATGTCCCCTCCATATGAGTCCATGCATGTCCTGTCTGGTGAAGAAGACAACCCTCCCCCTCCTTCCAATCATAACACACAATATTCTAGCTCCCCCACTCTACATAAATCCTCCTACAGGGACTATCCCTCTCATTGACCAGTCTCTTCCCCTGATAATTGCAGTAGGTTGATGTCTTATAGAGACTATGCCCCCTCTTAGTGGGAGGGTGTTATGTCTCCTCGTTGAGGTCAATCTCATTCCCCACCTTGGTGTGGCCATTCTCCCCCACTAATACCACAAGGAGAATATCAGAGGTTGCATTGCCAAAATCCTCAAGTAAGTTGCAACTGTGAGTATCCTTCAATCACATGCCTATACACAACTAATTTGTGTCCCTGTAGCACACACTGCTCACAGCTACTCATCACAGCACAACCATTGAGTAACCCATCCCCATGAATTTTACATTACAATGAACATAATTTTAAGACTAACTTGAAATGTCTCTAGCAACCCCTGTTATATATCCTATTGCTGGTCCTTTGATGCAAGTCTTGTCTGCCATGCCATCCACTCCTGGCCCTTTGTTGCTTGCTCTGATCACTCCATACAACTCTCACCTCTTGCAAACATGACATCAATTGCAGGCTTCAACAGGATGAGCCATTCTGCCACTGACACCACTAAACTTGCTGGCTCATTCAGCACGGTCAGTTTGACGCAGCCAATACTGTTGACTTGGTGCATCCCAACTATCCTTCCTTGCACATCATCTCATGTGGTTGGTTAGTAGTATTGAAAAGGATCAAAATGAGACTGTGCATGTGGACTGCACAATACCCAGATGTACTACTGTGGTTTTTGGGCATTTGGTGCCTATCACAAGGCCTGGATTGGCAGGTCTTGGTTAGCCATAATGATCTTGTGCTTCCTAGCCCTGCCACTGTTAGGTACCGTGCTTGAACAGAGAAGCAGAGGGGTTGGGGCTTGGCTTCAGCTCTTGCACTGCGCCCTTAGCCAAGTATGTGCCCCAAATTTGGAGCAGGTCTGACAATGTCCAACCATAGGCACCTGAGTGACACCATTAATCTTACTAATTAGTAATAACATCATGCCTGCTAGATGATAGTCCACCTCCCAGAGCCTTTTAGCTGTGGCTTTCCATGTTGTAGCATTGTTTTAACCAACCCAAACATTCCCACGGATAACCTACTCTACACCTCTCAACACAATGGCCAAGTGCAAATGCACCCTCAAATGTTCGACCTTTGGCTCTGTTCAGGAGACGGTCATCACAGACACAGGCACTTCTTGGACACTCAGAGCCAACCTCAGCAAGATCCGGGCAGATAGGCTGGCATTTGAAAGGCAACAGTTGGATGGTCAACAAGGTATGTTGTCTGTGCTGTCTTTCTTTCTTTCTTTCTTTCTTGAATCTCACACAAAGGCAGGTATCTCTGCTGCTACACAACAGCTTCTTGCTGAGGCTGCCATTCATGCCAACAATTACTCCAATGATTCCAGCAGTTCTTTTGCAGACTTCAGTGCATTGGACTCAAATGCTGCACCAGTGGACAGATGCCTCTGTTGACAATAGTGCAGATAAAGGCTCCGACATTCGTGCACCTGTTACTGGTGGTGAACAGCATGCAGTTAGTGCAGCACAAATGCACATTTTGCATGGTGAGTTTTCTGATATTCTTAACTTCAGTGAAACTAAATTTTTGTAGTATTCAAGTTAGGCATCAACAACATTGTGCCCCATGGACCTGCCTTCTGTGTAACCGTCAGATGCATGCTGCCTGGCGCAATCAAATGCCAGACCTCATTGAGGCATTCTTGCAGTGGAAACATGATCCAGCTAATACTTGCATACCGCCTGATCCCATTGAAGCAAACTGCATGGTGATGGCTTTTCAAATCGCTACCATCAATATTACAAGTTGGTTTTTTTTATTTTTTATTTCGTTATTCTCATGCATTCTTTTAGACTATGAACATGTGTGGTCTGTCAATCAACATGAAGATCAACCTGCCAATGAGTTGCTGATAAGGTGTCATATACCAGATCCAAGCACCTCCAATACCACCTGTGAACATCTCCACCCCTGGTCTGAACCCCAGTTTCCCCATCCGCTCCATTCCTCCTTCTCCGACAATGCACGAAGTGCATCTCAGCAGGATTAGCCCTGCTACCTCCGCCCGACCCTATTCCACTCTTCCGACACTACCCCTATGTCCTCTGACATTATACCCCTTCCATCCAACCCTATCTGGGGTTCCGCTCCTCTGCCCTATTGGTCCGCCCAATCCTACCCCTACTCCCTCCGCTTTTCTGACCCGCCCAGCTCCACTCGTCTTGTCCCACCCAACTATTAGTCTGTCCGACTGCCTCACCAGTCCACTCCTAGACTAGGAACCACTCAACTGGTCCTATCCCCGTTTAGTATCATAGTTCCGCTTTTTGGATCACTGGTAATCCCTATACCCTAGCAATTCTGATCCGTCGCGTACATACTGTTCCCCGAGCCTTATTCTCATATGTCTCAGTCATCCTATTGTATTCCTGTACACTCAGCACATAGCCTTCTGCTATGCTATGCTCATCACTTAGAGTATATAAACATATGTACATTTGTCTGTAGATACTCAGTCTGAATATTACCTTTTCTAAGCCCTGCTCTTCTGTTCTTTGACTTGGGCCTGATCCTGGTCAACTCCTGTTAGCCGGCCTAGGGGATTGACTCCCTAGGTTGGTCACCCTCCGATCCTCTGATCCCCCGTTCCCCCATTCCTCCACTCATCTGACTTCCTGTGCGTCGGAACTAAACCCTGCAATCTCCCATCCATCCCCTCAGTTCCACTCTGCTTCAGACTTCATTCAAGCAGTCCCCTCTACTCCGCTTCTACTGTTGGTTCCGACCACAGTAGTCTCCCGATTCCCTCCTGTCGGGTGGAACAACCCCCACCCGACTTTCCCATGCTCACCTAGTAGTCTGTCGGTCCTCCTTCAGAGGACCCCCATTCCAACGTCCTGTCGGAACTCATAGAACTTGTGTCGGACTACATTCCGAAATTAGGGGCATGTACTCGGGTAAGGGGCGCAGCGTACAAGCTGAAGCCAAGCCCCTCAGACTCTGCTTTACCCCTGAGCACAATCTTAACATAAGGGCCGGTTATCTTGGCAGCTCCCCTTTTCAACCTATGGTGGCTGTGTCTTTGGAGTGCCTCAAACTCTACCACCAAATTTGCTGAAGGAAAGCCTTATTCAGTGTACAGGTGATGGTGAAGGTCTTATGTGCACTCCACAATGTGAGTCTCAAGTACCAAGTCCAAACTCGAACCCATCCTTACTGACCCTACTATCTCATTAGCATACTTATTATCAGTCACTGCAGGACCAGTTTGCTGTGGCCTTGGATGCATATCTTGAAATTCTGAGACAGGTGAAAAGTCTTGTTGATCAAACACTGGGATGGGACACACCACATTGGTACATGTTACATGCTTGCCCAGCATGTGACTATAAGGTTAGGCACTAAATATAATTGCAAAGCACACTTATGAAACTTGTGACAGCAACTCAATGAGGTGCCTCTTTACCCTGCATGACTTGATGCCTTTCATGGCAATAACTTGCTGAAACGTGTCGATAGCTCTGTCATATACTGGATCCGAGCACCTCCAATACCACCTGTGAACATTCCCACCACTGGTCCGACCCCCTGTTTCCCTGTCCAGTCCATCCCTCCTCCTCCAACAATGCATGAAGTGCATCTCAGCAGGACTAGCCCTGCTACCTCTGCCCAACTCCACTCCACTCCTCCGACACTATCCCTATGTCCTCCGACACTATATCCCTACCATCCGACCCTATCTGGAGCTCCGCTCCTCCACTCTGTTGGTCCGACCGATCCTACTCCTACTCCCTCCACCATCTCCGCTTTTCCAACCCACTCAGTTCCTCCAGTTTCTCTCATATCGCTTCACCCAACTATTAGTCCGCCCGACAGCCTCACCAGTCCACTCCTAGACTAGGAACCACTCAACTGGTCCTATCTCCATTTAGTATCATAGTTCCTCTTTTCAGATCACCGGTAATTCCTACACCTGAGTGATTATTGATCTGTCGCATACATACTATTCTCCGAGCCTCCTTCTCATATGTCTCAGTCATCCTTCTAGTAATTCTGTACACTCAGCACATAGCCTTCTGCTATGCTATGCTATGCTACTTACTTAAAGTATATAAACATATGTACATCTGTCTGTAGATCTTTAGTCCGAATATTACCTTTTCTAAGCCCTGCTCTCTTGTCCTTGTTCTTGGGCAAAACCCTTGACAACTCCTGTTTACTGGCCTAGGGTATTGACTCCCTAGGTCAGTTGCCTTCTCCACTCATCTGACTTCCCGCACCTCGGCCGCCTTGCCTGTGCGTCAGACTTGTGGCCAATACTCTTGTACCTCTGTCCTCCGTGTTTCCGTTCTGCTTCGGACTTCATCAAAGCAGTCTCCTCCGCTCCATTCCTACTGATAGCTCCAACTGCAGTACAGTTCCGGACAAGCAAACTCGACAACTTTGTTTTTGGCTCAGGGAATTTTTTTGGCATCAAACTGAGTATGGGAACAGATTCAGAGGGTCAAACTACGTCTAAAACCGGTCTCATTTGTATTTTCCCACGTGTTTTTGGGCTGGCCAAATTTTTGGCTGTTTTCAACAACATGTATCTATGCCTACGCTCTGTCCAGTACCGCTTCTATTGACATCATAGCGCACTGTGAGACCTAGTGATGCTGTTTTTGCTTTTGAACTGCCTCTTCCGCTGCTTTTCCCATGAGACCCAATCAATATGCACTCATAAAGCACCATGAACAGTTGATAAAATGACTGATCACTTCAGTCGGGCAAGCATCGAGCTGTTCCCTTGCACAATTCTCCCATGCTTCTTCTGCATCATGAACAAGACCAGTGTTGAGTAGCGAGTCAGGGGCTGGTGTCTTGGACATTGTCATATACCTGATCCGACCGCCCCGATATTAATATCTGCTCCACCTTCTGACCACCTCCACTACATCTGTCCTCCGCTCCATCCAATCATCATCTGCATCCGCCCCTACGCTTCCACTCAACTGCCCAACCAGTCCCCTTCCATAACGTCTCCATTCAACTGGAACCTGTTACAGGGACCCTCAGACCCCTATCGTCTCTGCCAAACATCACTGTCACAACCGCATCACAACACGTGACAGATGATGTCACCGGCACGTGACTAAACTGCAGAGCACAGCATGACAGCTGTTGGAGCAAGACAGCTCTGGAACTGACCTAGACCGGGATCAATAGAAGCCACGCGCTTCTCCCTTATCACCCTACCAATACACCGGTACTGACTATCAGTTTATCCTATCGCTTATCATGACAGATAGCGTTATCTGACTTGGACACCTACCACTGCGCCGGTACCATGCCCTAGACCATTACCGTTGAACCGGTACTCTTATCTCTGAGTCCTTATGACTCATATAGACACTTACCTAGTTGGGACGCTTTCTGGCTACCCAAGCCTACCCTGAACTCATAGGATGATACCTATATATACCACAGTAGTTAGACCATGTATTCTCTAACTTGATCTTCACTTGTGATATACAACTCTAGCTTCCACCATTGAAACTTCAGTCAGTCATTCTGAATGGACAGCCTCCATTCAGTCTTCCATCGTCCTGGTGCTCCATGAAGCGGACACGGGATCGACCCTATCAAGTGCACTGTTGGAAAGCCGGGCTTTCCCATAACAGAACCTCTTTCCCATTTGGACATATACTTTCCCCTTTGGTACATAGACCCTCACTTCTGGATCACTGGTAATTCCTTTTACCGCTTGATCACTGATCTGACACGTACAGATTGATTCAGCTCCGACTTATGTCTTCGCCTGTGTAAGTACTTACAAATTATATCCTTGGTGCATAGCTTTACAACATAGTTATCCTGATCACTGCCTCATACTTAGAAGTATATAACATATCCTGTACTTAGATATTTTCCCCAGTCTTAATATTACTTGTCTTCTTGCAGTTTCTACGTGTGAGAATTCTCAGTAGGACCTTGCCACCTCCGGACACAAGTTTCATCTTGTTGTCACCTCCGACTTTCCGCTCCGACTTAGAGCTGTGCTCTAAGTCTCCCCCTTTACTTCTCCGCCCCTGTCAATCATCCCCCGTTGCTCCTATCCACCCTCCGCCTTATCCTCCACCTTCTTCGCTCCGCTTCTAGTCAGCCCGCCGCTATTAGCACTTACTTCCCGACCCTCAAAGTGGACCTAAGCAGACCACTTGTCCTATTGTCGGACAACATCGGACCCGCTCCAAATTTGGGGCACGTACTTGGCTAAGGGTGCAGTGCAAGAGCTAAAGCCAAGCCCTGACCCCTCCGCTTCTTGAGCCGGCATGGTACCTAATAGACATGATATCTGCATTGAGACCATTTTATTTCAACTCCAAATCAGGTTCCACTGGGTTGTGATGTGATGTTGAAGGCTGGGTGGCAGATGTGATGTGTGCTGACTGGTATGATTTTGGTTTAACCGTGAATCCAAGGCTGGTCAGTGATTCTTGATTTTGAAGGAGTTTTTTATACCGTCGTTGAGTATGAGCTGATTTGCTCCCAACATCAGGACCCTTCTTGTAATGACTTGGACAGCCTGTTCGTTCAGCCCTACACTTGGACTCCCTTGGAGGCAGCCATGTCTCGTCACATGGATCATCATCCATGGATGCTGCAAAATAAATTAGCCTTGAACAGCAGTTGCTGTTATCCAGATCGTCCAAGTGAGTGATATCCTCTTCATCTGACTCAATATCTGATTCATCATTGTGAGCAACAAATTTTATACTGTCAAGGACAGTAGGGGGTTGCCAGTTTTCATCTGATGTGTGATCACTGATGCTTGCAGGTCTGGGGGCTCGAGAATGTGAATGTGATAGCCTTGTTCTTTTCAGAGGCAAGTCTTTGGAGTCATTTGACTCAGATGTCAATGAGACACTGGCTTTGTAGGGTGTCATATCCCATACCTCCAGACCCAGAATTCTGGATCTCCCCTGCAAAAGTCCAGTTCTCCATCCTGTTGTCTGCCCAGTGCTCCACCTTCATCTCCATACTCACTCCTATCTCCTTTTAGAATACTGCTCTCCAGCTACCAGTTGTATGTCTTTCCACTTTGCTTACTGATCTGTCCGTTTGTACTTCATTTCTGACTTCACTGCTTTGATCCGTTATACTCTTACTAATAGACTTTCCATATGCTCGGGGCATAGCTTTTACTTTGCTGACTGATTTACTTACATGATACCTACAGTATATAAACTCCTGTAATACTCCGGTACTCCTCAGTTTGAATATCATCTTAGTTCTGCTCATTCCTGCTTCTCTGGACTTGAGTCTAATCTCTGGCTCTACCCCAGGGTAGTCTAACTCTGTTCTGCCTCTACTCTGGACTTGTCCGTAGTAGCCTTACTCTGTTCATTCCTAGCCTTCTGGAGTTCCGCCAAACTCCCCCTGCATCTGACCTCTGGACTTACCTGGACTTCTGTCAGACTTCCCCTCTGCCTCTCAGAAATTAAGCGCACATACTCGTGTAAGGGGTGCAGCATACAAGCTGAAGCTGAAGCCCTTTGAGTTACCTTTCCCTTGAGCACGACCTTAACATAGGGCTGAATATGGTGGTATCACTTCAGTTCAATTTCTCTCGTATGTACCAGGCAACTTCACACAAAACTCTGGGCTATGCAAGGGACCTCAAGCAGCCACCAGAGCACGGGAAGTTGAACATTGAGCTGTGTACAACAAACTCCTTCTCAAAATGAACACTGTGCTTGACTTAGAGAGGAAGATCGGTGTTACACAATGTTGGACACCGGCTGACCCCAAATATCAAGAAGCACTCAAATACTTGCATAATTGGCAGTCTATTCATGCCGTTCAGCATCTAGAAGGTCTTGTTTGAACTTGTGAAAGCAAACTTAGCTGTGCGCCTCCGCTGCCTTTCCCGCGTGTCGGACGTGTGGCTAATACTCTTGTACCTCTGTCCTCTGTATTTCCATCCTGCATCGGACTTCGTCCAAGCAGTCTCCTCCGCTCCATTCCTACTGTTAGCTCCAACTGCAGTAGCCCTCCGACTCTCCCCTATAGGGCGGACCAATCTCCGCCTGACATTCCTGCGCTTATCTAGTAGTCCATTGGTCCTCCTTCAGAGGACCTCCGCTCCGACATCCTGTCGGAGCTCGTAGAACTTGAGTTGGACTACAATCTAAAATTAGGGGCACATACTCAGGTAAGGGGCACAGTGTATGAGCTGAAGCTGAGCCCCTCAGACTCTGTCTTACCCCTGAGCATGGTCTTAACACAGTCTCACAATTGTGGCCATAACTAATATTGTTAGCGCCGATTTTATTCTCAGCCCATCTAACAACTCACTTTTGCATCTAGTCTCTGTCATCTCTAGATTCAGTTCGAATACCTTCAATCTGCACTCAATTGCAATACCGAGGGAAATGTTTACAAGCCTCCAATGGCTCGATCTAGCTAGCCACGGCAACCAAAATTTATGTCTTCCCAGTGTGTACTTTAGCAAACTCTGCTGAACTGTTTTAAATTTTAAGAAATCTATCATCGTAACACTGGAAGCACAATTTATCTTTCAGAAACACACAGTGCAGCTACACACATCGTCTACACCCGCTAAGATTCTACCAGGAAATGGTCTTGAGCAGGCTGTAGTCCTTATCACATCAAGCAAGGTCGCTGGATCGCAAATGGTACACCAGCAATTTAACAGCACAGATATAGCTCAAGCTGTGGACTTGCTGGAGGATATCTTCACCTCTGGGATTGCAGAAAGGGTTTGTACGTCGGTTTTCAATACTAGTTGGAAAAATACACCTACTGTTTCTTGTACCTCAGGTGTGTATTTCTAACACGCATTGCTCATCGCATAGATCAATTCACATTTTGTTTCCAAGCTTTCACCCAAGAAAATTTATTTCAGCAAGGCAGCCGCTCATCACTACCATTTCCACCACTTCCCAAGTCTCTGGCTGCTCGTCAGGCTATTACACATATTCAGGGTCATATTGAAGAAGTTTTAAACTGTCCTGACTTTGAGATGTGGTTTCTCGCACAGTCAAGGAACCAGCCAGCCTCCGTCATGCACCCTCACTCTCGTGGTACCACACTGTCTCCCTTCCCACTGTTTTGGTTCTCTCATTGATGGGGATTCCCCATGCCCTTTACCCTTACCATTCAACCAGTACTTCTTACCTCTTTCTACTTATGACTCACACAACCCTTGACCCTTACCACTGACTCGGTATTGCTTCCGCTTACCCTGTACCCTTACCGTTCCACCGGTATATCACCCTCATACATATATATATCTCACTTGTACTGTAGATAGATTCTCTAATTTGAATCTACTCGGTTCTCATCTGATACTTGTCGTTAGGTCTGAACTTCTCTTGCCTAAGAGAACTCCCTCTGTACACAGAACCATCTGCTCTTGAGACGATACTCTTGAGTTGAACTCCATCTCTTGGATCGTATCCTCGAGAAACTCCAATCGACTCTACGCAAGTAAGGGCCTCAACCCTTACTTAGACTTAGCGCAGGCAAGCTCCTTGCTGGGCTAGCGCCAAAGGCCACGCTTCAAACACCCCTTGCGGGTTTAGTGCCGCTGGATCTCATCTGAGAGGTTTCGCGTAACAATTGGCCCCCTCATCATTTTAATGATACTGCCTCCCACCTAGACCATGGCTGTTCTGGTCCTTCTCGATCAACCTTGATGCCTTCTGCTTCTGAATCTTCCAGAGCTGAAGAGCATGTCTTTCCCCCACCATCTGAGAGCATTGCAGACACTCGTACACCAACAGTTTTCATTCACAATATTTGGTTTCAAGTCCCTATCATTTTCATGAGTTGACATTATTCTAGGGAATGGTAGTTAGAGTGGGTCCTATTTGGAATATCGCCATGAATCAAGGAGACACACTTTAGTTAATTTTGAGGGAGTTATTTGGAACCAATGGAGGAGATAGACACTAGTGAAAATTGATATTGTTTGATGTATGAAACAACTGATAACAATGAATTTTGCATGAAGCTTGAACTAAGTCCTACCTACAAGCAACTCCAACCATCACTGTTCTGAACTTTAACTTCTCATCATGATTGTCCAATCCATGGCCAAAACGAAGCGGATCCATGCAAAGCTGACAACAGTCCAGAAGGCTACACACCATGAAAAATCAATGAACTTGACAAATGCACTCACCACAGCTGTTAAGGTCATGCTCAAGGGAAAGACAACTCAAAGGGCTTTGGCTTCAGCTTGTGCGCTGCGCCCCTTACCTGAGTACGTGCCCTTAATTTCTAAGAGGCAGAGGGGATGTCTGACGGAAGTCCAGGTAAGTACAGAGGTCAGATGTAGGGGGAGTTCGGTGGAACTCCAGAAGGCTAGGAAAGAACAGAATAAGGCTACTGCGGACAAGTCCAGAGTAGAAGCGGAACAGAGTTAGACTACCCTAAGGTAGAGCCAGAGATATAGTCCTAAGGTTTAACCCTAAGACTCAGAGGTAGACAAGAGATCAGACTCAAGTCCGGAGAAGCAGGAATGAGCAGAACTAAGATGAGAGTCGGAGGTACAGTCAAAGGAATCAACCCTAAGACTCGGAGATTGACAAGAGACCAAGCTCAAGTCCGGAGATGCAGGAATGAGCAGGAATTAAGGTGAGATTCGAACTAAGGAGTACTGGAGTATTACAGGAGTTTATATACTGTAGGTATCATGTAAGTAAATCAGTCAGAAAAGTAAAAGCTATGTCCGAAGCATGTGGAAAGTCTGTCAGTAAGTGTATAACGGATCAAAGCAGTGAAGATGGAAATGAAGTATAAATGGACGGATCAGTAAGCCAAGCGGAAAGGACATAACCAGTAGCCAGAGAACAGTTATACTAACAGGAGATAGGAGTGAGCCCGGAGATGAAAATGGAGTGCTGGACAGAGAATAGGATAAGAGAAGCAGACTTCCATAGGGGAGATCCGGAATTCCAGATCCAGAGGTACAGGATATGACAACAGCACAAAATGCTTACCAGGAGGAAGCACGGACCATTGCCCAAGAACATGGCCGGTAAGTCTATATAACATGCCAAAACTGAATACTCACTTGTCTACAGAAGCTTGACATGGACACGCAAGCAGCTTCATGTGAGCAAGGGTATTTTCAACAAACGCTGTGCGAATCCCTGGAACACATTTGTGAGACAAGAGCTGAACAAGTACAACAAAGGTACTTATATTTATGACCTACCAAAAAAGAACATATCTTGACCTACAGTAAAAGGACGTGGGGTGGGGGATCGTTTAAAATTGCCCAGGTTTGTCGTGGAAAACTGTGCGCAATTAATGTCGCGTTATTTGCGCTTGATGGTGGCTGACAAGAACTGTCTTTGAGATAATGTTGAGACACTACATCAGTCCCACATAAAAGTCACTTGCACTAACCCTAAGGCACTACAGAAAGATATCAATGGTACTTTCGACACAACGAAGACTGAGGTACCAGAATGATTTCTTTTTGTCTGTGAAATACTCACTAAATGATTGAATAGTGGACTGCTATCCAGGCTTGAACAGGCTTCGAAGGGCTCTACCTTGTTGTTCATGGTGACGTTGAGCAGTATCATGAACCGAAGCTCTTTTACACACCAAAGGTCGCCTCATTCATCAAAGGTGTGCTTGGCATGGAGCCAAAGTGTCTCACACTGGAACTTGACTCTTGGGTCGTTGGAGATTTTGGTAAGTCGAATTTATCCAATGAAGTGTCGAATGTACTCAGCATTAATAGATAATACCACCATGATCACTCAATGGCTGTCAATGACAAGACTCATAAGCTTGTGTGGGTGGAATGTTCAAGACGGACTTGATAATTTGTTGCACTGATTGCATGATTTGTTGCTGATGTGTCATGCAGATATAATTCTGGCCGAATTTAATCATTCACAAAAAAGGAAAAAAAAAAATCACAATGAACTATGACAATTATGAGCAAAAGGTTGTAGAAAATTATGGTGTTGCTCTCCAAAACCACCTGCTTGCTGCTGTGCAAAATCCTGGGGAGATTGGCCACTGTGAAGATCTAATTAAGATGCTCAACAGCCTTGTGAACTCAAGTTGTTTGTGGGTGACACTCACCAAAGATGAGATAGCGGAGCACAAGAATGAAAACCAGGAGTGTGAGGCTCATGGCGAGTGAGTATACAAGGCCCGGAAATGGTGAACAAAGGGATCAAAGGCAACAAAGGAATCAAGCGCTAAGAGTGCGGAGTGGGTGGAGGATGAGGATGAGGATGAGGAGGACGAGGATGAAGATGAGAATGAAGACGAGGACAAGATGGGTGGGGATGGAGCTGACGTCACGAGTGAGGGGGCCGCTGTCTAGTTCATGAGCAAGTAAGCTCGTCTAGATCTTATCCTCGTTGGTATCCAGTCTATGAAGTAGAGTTGTCAATGGCTGGGTGCCACTTGACTCGGGGTCAGAGATACCTGCCTTTGTGTGAGATTCAACAAACAAACAAAGACAGCACAGACAACATACCTTGTTGGTCGTCCAACTATTGCCTTTCAAATGCCAGCCTATCTGCCTGGATCTTGCTGTGGTTGGCTCCGGGTGTCCAAGAAGTGCCTGTGTCTGTGATGACCATCTCCTGAACAGAGCCAAAGGTCGAACATTTGAAGGTGCGTTTGCACTTGGTCATTGCATTGAGAGGTGTAGAGTAGGTTATCCGTGGGAATGTTCTGGTTGGTTGAAACAATGCTACAATATGGAAAGCCACAGCTAAAAGGCTCTGGGAGGCGGACTATCGTCTAGCAGGCATAATACAAGCTGAGTTCTGTTAAAAAAACAGAGGGAAATGGTCCAGAACGAGGGAAGAGATGAGCTCATCGTTGACAACAATTAGCATAAGCTTCTGACAACCATGTGAGTATGGAAAATAGCCTGCTTGATCTGGGGAAGCAATTGTTAGAATAAATGATACAACCAAGCCACAAGTGAGCTAATGAGAGTGAACAGGACTATATAGTCCAGTGTCAGTTGTTATCGTGTTGTGTAAACTAATGAGTGTACTATACCTGTAGTCCAGTGTCAGTTGCTAAAGAGCAACCAACACAGGACTTGCTACCTATGGGCGAGTCTATGTAAACAAGTGTAAACACTGCCTAAGTAAGTAAGGAATTCACATCACATGCTAAGTGAGAGTCTAATAGAGGAAGCAACATCATAAGACAAATAACTCACACCATAAGAGCCAGTTCGTCAACGAGATGTTGACGAACATCTGGCAAAATAACATCACGTGTGAAGGTTGTCGGCTTGGGCCGTCCCGAGGGTCGGAACTTGAACATACTATCTAGCCATCGCAGTGCTAGTACAATGTATGTACTGTATATTCCTGACAATGGACGCTCTACCAGCAGTCCCTGCTCCCATCGACCTTCGATTGGATGTCCCACTATTCATGCCCCATCATCCCGAAGTCCAGCAACGTCTCATACGATACATGATCCTTTTGATCAGCATCTTGATTAGCGCTACAACTAGTATCTTACACTCAATCTATCCAAAAGATCCAGAACCATATCACACATCTGCTCTCTCGGGAGAAGCGTGGGTCATAGAACTATTAACTGGTCACCCCGAGCGTATACGATGCGAGCTTGGTGTACATGCACATGTGTTCACAGAACTCATCTCAGAGATTCGTACCCTTGGGCACACGGACTCCAAGTTTGTCTCGCTAGAGGAACAACTAGCAATTTTCCTCTATGCAGTAGTCACGGGCTTACCTATCAGACACACCAGTGAAAGATTTCAACGCTCGAATGAGACTATATCTCAGTGAGGGTGATATTTTTAATTGCGCGCTATATCTCATTGTACATAGTTATTTTCACAGGATGCTCTTTATCTTTTCGTCCCCCCCCTTCTATTCAAATGAGTCTCATCAGCAGTCTGGGGACACTGAGCACGAGTGAGTCGAATGTTGGGCTGCATGGGAGTGGAGACAGGCTTGCAATCAGCCATGCTGAAGCGATCAAGGATGTCAAGGCAGTACTGGCGCTGGGAGATGGTGATGGAGTGCTTGGAGCGATCCCTGTCAATCTTGATGCCTAGAAGCTGGGTGGTAGGGCCCAAGTCTCGAAGCTTGAAGTGCTGAGACAAGTCCTTGATGATCTGATCAATTGCAGAAGCGGACTTCGATGCAAAGGTCATGTCATCAACAAAGACAGGCAAGATGATCCTGACTTCACCCTTGACATAGATATAGATGCTGGCATCAGAGTAGGACTGGGTGAATCCAATAGACTCGAGAACAGAGCGCATTTTCTTGTTCCAGCGATTGCCACCTTGCTTGGTTCCATAGATGCTCTTCTGAAGAAGGCAGACCATCTTCTTGGGATCACCTTCAGCAAAGCCTTCAGGTTGTTCCATGTAGACGTCACAGTCCATCTCCCCATTGAGATAGGCATGTGAGATGTCGATGGAGCGGAGGTGGAGGTCATGGATGGCAGCCATAGCAAGGACAACACGAATGGTGGGCATACGCACAGTTGGAGCAAATATTTCGACATAGTCAAAGCCAGGACGCTGGTTGTAGCCCTTGGCAACAAGTCTGCCCTTGTAGCGCTCAATAGAGCCATCAGCATTGCGCTTCACCTTGAATATCCACTTGGAGCCAATGACCTTGATTCCAGCTGGTCTAGGTACGAGTTTCCAAGTCCCATTGCTGCGATGAGCATTGAGTTCCTCAAGAGCTGCCTGATTCCACTGCTCTGCATCAAGTCGAGTCAATGCCTCCCTATAAGACAATGGCTCGGTGGAAGAGCTGGTAGACAAGGCAAGCTCAAATCCTTGAGCAAAGTCAGCATCCTCAGTCTCATCATCAACAACATCAGTCAGCTGAGCTGGAGAGAGCTTCCACCAGTCTCTGGGAGGTTGCCTGTTGCGTCGAGGGAGTCTGGCACCAATGCCTATGGGAGACGGTGGTCTAGGAGGTGGATTGGGACGAGCTGCAGGAGGAGGAGTGACTGGATCAGGAACAGGGACGACAGCAGGGACATCAGGAACTGCTGGAGGGACCACATCTCCCCCTTGATCCAGTGACTCATCAGAACTGGACTCATCATAGTCAGAGTCAGAGTCAGAGTCATCTGAATGAGGAGGATAGTAATAGGAGGGCGCTGCTGGGGGCTCAGAGGTAGTCTTGGACTGTCTGGGAGGATGGGGAGCATTGACAGGAGGTGCTGGAGCGATGGGAGCTGGAATGGATGGACTGGATGGGCGCTTGGACAGAGGGAAGTATCTTTCATCAAAGTCAGCCCTTTCACAGATGATTGTCTTCTTGGAGGTGGGGTTGTAGAACTTCCAGCCCTTGTAGCCAGCAGGGTAGCCAATGAAGACGCACTTTTCCATGTGGGAGCCAAGTCCATCTCTCTTGTGTTAGAATAACCAAGTGAAGCAAGCCACAAGTGAGCTAATGAGAGTGAACAGGACTATAGTCCAGTGTCAGTTGCTATTGTGTTGTGTAAACTAATGAGTGTACTATACCTATAGTCCAGTGTCAGTTGCTGAAGAGCAACCAACACAGGACTTGCTACCTATGGGCGAGTCTATGTAAACAAGTGTAAACACTGCCTAAGTAAGTAATGGATTTCACATCACATGCTAAGTGAGAGTCCAATAGAGGAAGCAACATCATAACACAAATAACTCGCACCATAAGGTGCTCAATCACCACAACTAACACTCCCCCCTGATTGTGCACCTCTACACATCTCAGCTCCCCCTCAAGCTACTCAGTCCCATCATCTGGCAGAACAACTGCACCTTGGGTCGAGCCAATGCCTTGGTTAGGATGTCAGCTGGCTGGTCAGCAGTGGGCACAAACACTGGTGCAATAATCTCCTTGTGCACCACATCTCGAAGCCAATACCAGCTGAGATCAAGCTGCTTCATCCGACCATGGTGCTCTGGGTGCTTGGCCACAGAGATGGCGCTCTGGTTGTCGATCCTAAGGACAGAGGGTGCAGTGGCAGGGAAGCCCATCTCAAACAAGAGATTTCGCATCCAGCGGATCTCCTTGCCTGCCTCAACTGCAGCCATGTACTCAGCTTCAGTGGTGGACAAGGCCACAATGCTTTGAAGCTTCGACGACCAGGAGACAGCACCAAGGCCAATCTTGACCAGGTAGCCACCAGTGGAGCGACCGGTGTCTTTGCATCCACCATGATCAGCATCAGAGAATGTGGAGAAGAGTTCGATGGAATTGGGATCAGGAGCATAGGTGATGGAGTAGTCTGCAGTGCCCTTCAGATAGCGAAGCAGGTGCTTGACAGCTTGCCAATGGGCAGGGCCAGGGTTGGAGTTGAATCGAGCAAGGCAGCCAACAGTGTAGGCAATGTCTGGTCTGGTGGTGGTGGCAAGATACATCAGAGCACCCACAGCTTCAAGGTAAGGAGTGGATTGCATGTCCTGAGTCTCATCAGCAGTCTGGGGACACTGAGCACGAGTGAGTCGAAGATTGGGCTGCATGGGAGTGGAGACAGGCTTGCAATCAGCCATGCTGAAGCGATCAAGGATGTCAAGGCAGTACTGGTGCTGGGAGATGGTGATGGAGTGCTTGGAGCGATCCCTGTCAATCTTGATGCCTAGAAGCTGGGTGGTAGGGCCCAAGTCTCGAAGCTTGAAGTGCTGAGACAAGTCCTTGATGATCTGATCAATTGCAGAAGCGGACTTTGATGCAAAGGTCATGTCATCAACAAAGACAGGCAAGATGATCCTGACTTCACCCTTGACATAGATATAGATGCTGGCATCAGAGTAGGACTGGGTGAATCCAATAGACTCCAGAACAGAGCGCATTTTCTTGTTCCAGCGATTGCCACCTTGCTTGGTTCCATAGATGCTCTTCTGAAGAAGGCAGACCATCTTCTTGGATCACCTTCAGCAAAGCCTTCAGGTTGTTCCATGTAGACGTCACAGTCCATCTCCCCATTGAGATAGGCATGTGAGATGTCGATGGAGCGAAGGTGGAGGTCATGGATGGCAGCCATAGCAAGGACAACACGAATGGTGGGCATACGCACAGTTGGAGCAAATATTTCGACATAGTCAAAGCCAGGACGCTGGTTGTAGCCCTTGGCAACAAGTCTGCCCTTGTAGCGCTCAATAGAGCCAGTCAGCATTGCGCTTCACCTTGAATATCCACTTGGAGCCAATGACCTTGATTCCCAGCTGGTCTAGGTACGAGTTTCCAAGTTCCATTGCTGCGATGAGCATTGAGTTCCTCAAGAGCTGCTTGATTCCACTGCTCTGCATCAACTCGAGTCAATGCCTCCCTATAAGACAATGGCTCGGTGGAAGAGCTGGTAGACAAGGCA